AAAGTGTCCGGTTCTGAACGTTGTGAGTAGCGGTGGGGTGTTTTGTAGCAATCTGTTTAATTTAAACAATTTCTTTCATTAAACAGATGCAGTAAACTATTTCACTCGAGATTGAACAGATACAAGGATTACCTTCCATTAGGAGGAGGCAAGTTGTTGTTAATGATAAAATCAGCGCTGAGCTCATCAATGTCTGAACAGAGCAAAACGAAGCCATCGATGAACTGTGCTGAGTTTAGGAACCTACACCCAAGATAACGTACTTTACGGGTTAGTAGGTGGAGACAGCGATTCCGACGGGAAAAGAAGGAAACACCGAATATATATATATATATATATATATATATATTTATTGAAATTTACAACTGTGAATATATATAATTCATTTATTGAATGCCATGAATAATGAGGAGAAGAATAGTTGGGGTGATCAGTCAAATAAGAAGGCAAAAATAAATGATAATATTTATTTTGACATTTGCCGACGTTTCGACCTGAAGTTCAGGCCATCATCAGGGCTAAGAAAAGAACCAGATAACAAGGTATGAGAAACATAAGTAGTGTAGGTAAAAAAAAAAATTAAATTAAAATGCAGTTGTTGGAATAATGACAATAGTAAGAACTAAGAGATAAATGATAATAACCGGTACAAAGTGTGGAATGATGAAGTAAACATAATCAAAAAAAGGTGACATAAGTATTAAAATAGGAATCTTAGAATAAAATATAAAACAGAAAAATATGAAGTTATATAAGAAATGAAAATAAATAGTAAAATTAAGATATAGTGAATAGAATAGTTAGATAGAAAATTGAGATGTTGTAAAGTTTATCAAGATGTACAAATAACGTATAATATAATAAAGAGTTAAAACAGAGAAAAGGAATGAAAGGAAGGAGAAAAGAAACTGAGAAGGCTGAAATAAGTAAGAGAGTAAGAAAGGAAAAGGTCTTCATAAGAGAATTGAGGTCTTCATGGATAATTTTATTTGTTACATAATAAGGATCATTTGGGATTTTACGGAGGATTTTTGATTGTAAGGATTGGACTCGGGAAGAATTTGATGTTTTGATAGAGCCTCAAAATGTTTAATTTAAACAGTTTTCCGAAACAGCTACAGGATCTGTTTAATTTAAACAGATACCGAAACCTGTTTCATTCAAAAAGCTTGTTACAGCAGATACGTAAACAGTTTTCTGAAAGACATAGTGAAAGCTGTTTAATTTAAACAGTTTCTTGCAACAGATAAAGAAATAGTTCTCAGTTCAATTCTATTTGTTCATTAGTTTTTATTTATTATTAGTTTTTATTTATTATTATTTAGTTATTGTTTTACTTTGTTAATTTTTTTTTTGTATATACAGGTGTGAATGTGTTCATTTATCAATATAATTATTGTCCCTGTGACAGAATATTATATGTGTAAATAAATAAATAAAAAAAAATGTGTTCATTATTTTCACTAATAAATTTATATAATACCTTTAAAAAATGTTATAATTCAAAATTATAATTTTAATGTTACTTTGACTTTTATCAGCAATTATAAATACTTTTTTTTCCGTACCACAGTTGATATTATGGTAAAATTAAAAACGTATGATTAAATTTAACATTTAAATTGATAATTGTTCTGAAATCATTTCACCCATTAAATATTTTGACTATTGAATTGTTTTTTTATTTTTTTTTTTTTGTCGAATTTCAAAACAGTCATATATGTTTTTTAAACTAAAAACCCATCACTAGTTGTGGGTTCGATTCCCACCTGGATCGGTTACTTTTCGTTTCTCGGTGGACCCGGGAAATGGATCATGACATTCCCACTCTGGTAAGTACGCGGCGGTAACATCGATGAAGCCGTCAGGGGTTGGCAAAAAGAGCTGGGCCCATATATCTCAAAATGGCACATTTTAGGGTTTTAAAACGCAGAGGCCAGTATAGATAAATTCTGTATTCTAAAGAACTAAACTGGGCCATGATGTTCGCCTCAAAATATTTATAAGACAATTTATCTCGTGTCTCGATCCTCCTAATTTTTATAATGACTTTTATTGTCATTATATTAAGATTTTAAATTTTGAAATTATGATTCATCACTTCTTCATGAAATTCTCTTTCGTTTGATACCCCGTTCATCAAAATCCATTGCTTATATGAGTCGGAAAACGGATTTATACTACAGTGTTATATTTATTGTAGATTATCAATTGATTACACTGAACAAATTTTAATAAATCTGCTAAATTATTATTTAACGTGAACTCCAACGTGAATTATAGCCAGGAAGTATAATAAATTTACACTATTTAATAATCTAATAATTTACATTAATGTTATTAGTACTCTCGCATAAATTATGTACTATTATAACTGATTTCTTCAAATATTTACTAAGATCTTATTAAAAATTAATATTCAAAGTTTGTTCTGAGATAATCTAAATTTAGTTTTTAATTGATCAAAACTACTTTAAAGACCCTCTCTCCAGGAATAAGTATATTTTACAGCTTAGAATTTATTTGAGGAAAAATTAATTAAAGAAAATAATTGGTTTTTGAAGATTTAAAAGACAAGTTGGAAGAATTTACAGTCACAAACAAAAGTATGCATACAAGTGAAAATCAACTCAATTGAAAATTGTTGTGTAATAAAAGGAAAATAGGAAAAAGTATTAAAATTGAACGCAAAAGTATAAATTTATGTCGGGTTAGAATAAAGAAATTAGGAACAGTAAATCCTTTGTATTAGTATCTCTTTTGATTAATTCTTATTATAAAACGAGTCTTAAAACATCTAATTTTTATTATTTGCTTTTTTTATATATTTTATTTTATAAAACATTAACAATTTTTAAAATAAATAAATGCTTGAGTAAAGGTATCTTCTGCACGAATTTCGTAACTTTTTCTGTATTTGATTTATTTATTTAAAACAACCTATCTCGAATGGAGGGAATTCACCGGGCTTAGACAAGCGAAGCAATTTATTAAAAGCCCCTCTCCCTCCAAAACAAAGTGGCTGCTGGGCCTAACTAGGAAAGAAATCCGACTCATCATCGGGGAACTAACAGACCACTGCAAACTTAAAGATCTGTGGGATAGTGGATGAGGAACTCTGTAATATTTGCAGAAGTGCACCTGAAACTGCTCTTCACTTCATGACGGAATGTGACCGATTTGCGTCACTCAAATACAGACTTCTGGAAGCAGACAGAATCCAAGTATACAAAGCTGGCTCTATTAAATGGTCCAACCTTTTTAACTTCATTAGAAGAACAAAAGGTTTGGAACAGAATAGAGATACAATAGACAACCACTGGTAGTATCAGATTTTTGGGGTTGGCAAAAAGGACCAATAAGCCCATTTGCTGGACTAAGTCCCCCAACCAGTACCAGTACCAGTACCAACTACCTCACCTTGAGGCTAAATGGGTTAATCAGTGGTGGTACATCAAATAAATTTGTAAATTGTACATCAAATAAAATATGATAGCATAAGCTATGGACCTACTAGTAAAAATAAATTTAAAGATTCTCCAATGCTATTTTTTCTTGTAATCAGAGCTATTGTCGGCAAAATCGTCTGAATTTTCTACTGAACTCCCATGAACAGGTCCTCTCCTTCCAAGATTGAAGTGTGCAGGACTGCAGCTGTATTTGAAACCATCTGAGTTTTAAAACCACCCATTACGTTTCTCAATGACTTCTATTAAAGCTTTAGTATTTAAGGAAGGAGATGGTCCGAGGTGGCGGTCATATATAGGCTAAATAGTGGCAAAACTATTTTATTAAAAGTCAACGTTACGACCCGACTTTGCAAGTCTTCTTCAGGGTTAGAACGGACAAGATACAAAAAGATAGAGAATTGTGGAAGTTACATGACATTTAAAGAAAAAAATTATAAACAATGTGAGTAAGCTTATTAAAATTATAAACAGTGAAGTACATTAAAGCATAAACAGAGTAAGCTAAGTAATAAGATCCTAAACTTAAGTAAATATATGGTAACAATTCTTGCAGTGTAATATATAATATATGCAAATGTGAATATACTTCTACAGATCTACAGGAGAGATTGAAAGAAAAGGAAAAAGGATATAATATGAAATAATAGACATAAAGGAATGTGGAGAAAAAAAAGAAAAAAGAAAGCCAAAAAATTAAATAAAATTAGGGACTTACAAGTGTGTTCAGCTAGTAGTTTCACTTCAAACTGGAAAACCAGGATAAGGGTAGGGAATTTTCTGACTTGTTTGGGTAATGGGGAAAAACTTAGAAAATCGCAGTGTCTAAAATTTGAAGATATGGATGGATACAAGGGGAAAAAATACTATGAAATATTAAATTAAAAATATATACATATATCTATGAAATATTAAATTATAAATATATACATATACATATAAAATAGAATTAAGAGATTATAGATAAGAGTACAATTAGAATAAAAACAAATATGGAAGAAGTAAAATGTACATAGAAGTAAAATATAAATACAGAAATAAGAGACCGTACATTGCAGAACTAACTTAGAAATAGAGAGGGAAAAAATTATAATTATATTAAATTATATTTGAATATTAGATAATATTGAGACAAGGTTAAAAAGTAAAATGAATACAAAGTGAAAACGGATGAACATACATTTATGCAGAATGTAAATATAAAATAAAAATAAAATAAAGGAGAGATCATACAAATATTTAAGGATCGAAATCGGAATCCATCACTTCTGCTTTATATTTCCTTTCGTTTGATAACTCATTAATCAAAATCCATCCCTCTCGAGAGCCGGAAAAGGGACCCACACTACGGTATTATATACAGTGTAGATTTATCTATGCTCACTATTACATTGACTTATTTTTATAAAATATCAGCGATGTTATATTAGTTATATAACAGAGAATTCCATTAGTCTAGTATTTAGTATGGTTAAAAGAATCAAACGGAGGAGAAAAATGAAAATGTTTCTTAATTTTTTTTCCATTTTTCAGGATCTCCTATACCCGTCATAATAGTGTGGATAATCGCCAGGACGACCGTCCAAGACCCTAACGCTTCCGTCATTGGAGTTCCGGAAACGGTAAGTTTTATAAATAAATTTCATTTTAATAACAAAACTTAGATCAGAAGCCTTCAAAATAAGTCCGTCAAAGTTTCTTTGATTATATGGTAAAATTTCAAAAATTATTTAGAAATTTATAAAATCACTCAGGAAGTTAATAAGGTTTTTATAGAAATATGTCTTAGATTTTACGAAATTGGTTAAAGTCATAGTTCGTTGATCGAGATTTACGAATATTTACACATTAAGGCACGGATTCTCCCCATTTTTCTGGGCATGTAAACATCCGAAAGATCTTTCCAGGATTTAGTTTTGGGAGGGGCTTCAGACCAAAAGATTTTTTTTTAATATATAACAATAATTACTTTAGAAGCAAAAATGAAAGAAACTAACTACCTATATGCACTAGCGGATCCAGAATTTAATTTTTGGGGGGGGGGGCTTCAGCCCGAAAGGTTTTTTTTTCATATATATAACGATAACTACTCTAAAAAAAAAAAGATACTATCTACCTATATGAAATGGTGTTTATATGATTTTTGAAGTCCTATTAAATGAAATTACACGAACAATAATACTTTAAGAGATATTTTTTAAAATGTTTTTTACCATAAAACATGGATACATTTTACCATTTTGGGGGGGTTTCAGTCCAAAAGTCCCCCCCCCCGTAGATCCGCCTGTGGTTCGGAGTGAGTAAGTCCGAGAATCAATGAGAAAAAATCGAAATTATGTGATGAAAATTCTAAACGCACTTTTTTCAATAACTATGACCGTTAAATATAAAAAATGAGAGCCTGCTAGTCGGATTTGGCTACCTGTAAACATGGCGAAAGATTTAAAGAATATTAGAACAGTAACTTCAGGATCGAAACGGGAAAATCATTACGAAAAAATGCGGGAAAAGTTTTGGTTTTTTTAACTTGTATGTATTGGTTAAGACATAAAAAGCAAAATTGCAAACCCGGGCCACCAAGGGAAACTTTTGACAGCCGAAAAAGCCATATTTTTTCGATCTTTTTTGTTATTTCACTTTTAATTCCTAAACGGTGCATCAAAGCTATGAACGGGCCCTTTAAGAAATAAAAGACCGTTAAATTATGCGTCAAACGAGTACCTAAACTTAATAATTTGGTCGAGTGATATGGTCGATTATCACGGCTAACGAACGCTCCTTTTAACCAAATCCGCGTCAAAAACTAAGAAAATTTGCTATTAATGGCGATGCAGCTTGCAAAACAGTGCTCTAACAGGAAAAAAACACATAGAAGTTGTAGAACATCAAATTTTGCGTTCACTGAGTACCAACTGTTTAAATATAACAAATAGGTGTTATTCCACGAAAAACTGGGGCAATAGAAAATCAAATACGCTAGTAACACAAATTAAATAAATAAAAAGTAATGGAAGTCATTCTAATTTAAACGTTCCCGCGTGTAAAATCCTGCATAACTTCCGGTGTGGTGGGTCGGGGCAAGATCTGAGAACGGTTTCTAGAATTTCAAATCTTTCTTAACAATAGGATCTATTTAGTTTTTCGAGCGATTAGGGAAATGAACCAGTATTTTTCACAATGGTTTGAAACTCCATAACAACTATGTATATTTTTAAAAACCGATGTTTCAGCTGTCTAAGTATTCACTAGAAGTACCTAATTCTGCACAGCACATACCGCTAGGTTTGAACAAAAAATGCCGGCAAACCATTCTAAATTTTAAAAAGTTGGTTTTCATTTTTTTCTCTGGCAATTAAATGATTGCATTAATAATTGCTCGTTAATAAAACCAATATAATGTACCAAAAAGGTGATTATATCCCTGTAACTAAGCCATTTATGTGTACAGAATGGTGTGGTAGATGCTTGTAGGTAGTGTTGCCCAAAATCGGTCTTGGTCTTGCACCTTGCAAGACCAAGACCAAGGTCGCCTAACTATTGCAAGAACAAGACCAGGACTGGTAAAAAAAAATCGAATTTTTAAATAAAATTTAAGGCAAATTAGTTACCAATACTTGACAATCTTAGTTACTATATGTTAATAATTGGTATAATCAATATACTTTTTCATTTAATTCCTCTTATTTTCCATTCGGGCTTAGTTAGGTTTCTCCTATCTAAAAAATTACAGTAATATCTCCATAGCAATAAGCTAATAAGTAACGGCAAGACTGTTGCGAAACTTGCGCAAGACCAAGATCATGACCAATACTGAGTTTGCAAAACCAAGACTCGTCTCGGTCTCGCATTTGGGCAACACTACTTGTAGGTAACTATGAAGACACAGCTTTCCTCCCGCATAAGTGCATTTTCTGCGAAACTGCTTCAAATAATTTAAATAGTAATGAGTGTTTTAGAAAGAGAAATATATTCTCCAGATGTTTTATTTTTGCACATTTTGCGTTATTGTTGACTGTTTAATTACAAACGACGCTTTATTTTTAACTTGAAAATTTGTTTGTTAAATTTTTTTATTTTACTGGTGTTTTTTATTGCCTAAGCCAATTATTTTTTAATATTTCTTCATGTTTTATTATTTTCTGACTATTCAGCTTTAATAAAAGACCAACCATGAGGAAATTAAGCCCAGTGCTGATTCTCAGTGACTAAAATTTTGCGTTCACTGAGTACCAACTGTTTAAATATAACAAATAGGTGTTATTCGACCAAAAACTGTAGCAATAGAAAACCAAATACGCTAGTAACACAAATTAAATAAATAAAAAGTAATGGAAATCATTCTAATTTCAACGTTCCTGCGTGTAAAATACTAAATAACTTCCGGTGTGGTGGGTTGGGGCAAGGTCTGAGAACGGTTTTTCAGAACGGTTCTAATCAACTAACTAAAGTCAAAGTCGTAATTCCGCCATCTTCGGACGCCATTTTGGGGCAGTGCGTTCACATTTTTTTGTAAGAACATTGGCTACAAATAGTTACAAGGAACACAACAATATGCAATTTATATGGATGTGGAGGAGGGCGCACGATAGGGGGGTCTGGCCCACAGACTAGGATGGTAGGTTACGAATGTGGTGTCACCGATTTCAATGAAACTGTTTTTGGTAATACTTGACCAAGAAAAATATTTATATAATTTTAATATTAGTTTATATTAATGTTTTATAACTTTCCTCTTCCAGTATTTACGTATAAGGCATTACCACCATTAACGTACTCGATAACCCGCTTAAAAGGCTCAAAAGATGCTGGATGAGGGATCTCCTTACTTAAATATGAAGTAAGATAGCAAGGGTACCCTTAGGCACTCCTCCCTTCGTTATCAACTCTTTAATTCCATTATTATTAACGAGAACAAACTTACTGATTGTCTGTGTTTCTGATAGGTGTGTGGGTCAAGAAATAAAGAGGAAAGACAAGATTTGTCAGCGGTAAAATTAAATTAAAGTATTCAATTAGATTATGGATTCTAAATTAAGCAGCTCAACCCCCGCAAACACCAACTGAAAATTGTGAGTTGTCTCCATGAGGACAGCTTGCCAGAGAGGAACTTTTAAAGATATCGATAGCAGAATCGAATCCCTTTGATTAGATTAGACGAGGCGAGCCGAATTGCCATCTTAAGGTCCCTGAGATTTAATTAATTTAGCGAGGGGGGGGGGGGCAAGGGGACACCATCTCCTATCGATAGCCAATTTAACTTGATCATCACTGTCGTCATATCGACAGTAAATCACATTACCATAAATATTTCCGAGTGGCTATCCTTCACAGTGGTAAAATATAAATAAAAAATGCATAGTTAGCTACTGAAATATAAAACATCTTGTGCGGTATACATATAACCACTTTGTTTTTAGTAATTTTCAGACATGGGTAAGTGAAAGTAAAATACGTTACTGTCGTTACAATGTATTCTTTAAAATAATTAATTACCATATGTTTTGTAAATATATGTTTAGTCTAAATTTCAATATAATATTCGATTTTATATGACTTAATATTCATAAAAATATTTATTGTTTTAGAATTTGTATTTTTACTTTCACTTACGTATATATGTAATATATAGTAACTGTAAGTATTGCGATCGAGAAAATTTTTGAATCTGAGTTTTCGATGGATTTATACGTTTTGAGGTACCCTGAGTCGAAATGACCAAGTCCCGAAAAATGGTCTGTATGTCTGTGTGTCTGTGTGTCTGTGTGTTTGTATGTTAGCAGTCTAGCTCAAAAACGAAAAGTCCTATGAAACTGATATCACGTATTTAAGATAGGTATATGCCTTAGTTGTGACGGCAACTTTTTCCTTAAAATCGGCTAACCGGAAGTGCCACTTTATATCAACGCTGAAACACATTTTCACAGTTTTCTCAAAAACGGCTTTCACGATTTTGATTAAATTCGGTGTATCATTGTATAATTAAGTGGTCTTTCATATAAATTAGGTCTTATCCCCATTGATGTCACTTTGCAGGGCTTAAATGCCCAATGTTCATATACGTCTTCCTCTAAAGTACCTTTAATATGGTTTATTATAAAAAGATAATTATTTCGCATTATTCAAAGTAATGAAAAAATGCTAAATATAACTTTTGAAAGAATATGATAAATTAATAAAGGAGAAAAAAAAATGCAGAAAAACCTGCGTTGCTATAGACTGTAAAGCCTAAACGAATGTACCGATTTCAATGAAACTTCTCTAAAGTCATTTTCTCGACACCTTTTAAATTTATCTACATAACATACTTCAACAAAAAGAAGCTGGAAAAAAAGTCACGAGAGATGGTAAAATTAAATTCCGAATAACTCAAAAACCATACACTTTTTTGGGAATATAGTATTTTTTTTTAAAGTTTATGGAATTTCCTAAAAAAAAAACAAAAAAAAAATCGTTAAGATCGGACAACTAGGAGGAAAGATATGGTCTCTAGTTTGTTTCCATGCATTGCCAGAAAATAATTTCTATTCATAGTAGATCTGTAAGTGAAAGTTGTGTGTTACGCGCACCATATTTTTTCTTAACATTAAGAGGAAGGGAAAAATGAAAGTTGGAGAAAATTACA